CTGATGCGTTGTCTCAGTGTCAGCCCCGTCGCAAGAATCACCATGATCATGATCATCAGCACCTAATATAATACAAAACGTTATTATTCGAAAATTATTATACGAAATTATTATAAAAATGAAATAAAATATATACATGATATAACATAATTAAAATAAATTTTTATTTTAATAAATTTTTATTTTAATTATGTTATTTTGTCATGCCATATATATATTTTATTTTATTTTTATTATTATTATAATTATTTATTAAAATATTTATTAATTTACTTTATTATAGAAATAAAAAATATGTACTTATGCAATTAAAATAAAAATTTATTTTAACATACCTAGTTGTTGTAAGCCAAACATAACACCAAATCCAATGAGTAACATTAAATATGACAATAACCCAGCATGTTCCTTCGAGAGTATTTCGAAGAACACCACATACAAGAGAGTACCACAGGCAAGACCATTTAATATAGCTGCAGTCATATTTGTCGAAGTCATATCATCTGTATTAGTAATTGCTATGCCAATACCAATACCGATTGGACTAACAATCGCAAAAGTAAATAAGTAAACAATTACTAATCCACGACGTGTACGTGCTACGATCAATTCAACGCCCACACAAAACGCCAAGACCAATTTGTGAGCTGCGACAGCGCCAAACATAAACCATACCGAACTTGCTGTACCGGCAAGGCCAATAGCCATACCTTCAAAGAGTTCATGCAATGACAAAGCCATTACAATAAACAAACCTCGCAGTGAGGAGGTAACGGCATCCCCTTCACTATTCACTACTGGCATATGGGAATGTGAATGCGAGTTCTGTTGATGTTTATGGTTATGTTCCACAGCATGTTCAGTATTATTGCTTTCCACATTGTTGTTGTTTCGCTCCGGAACGCTGTTGCCGTTCTCCAACTTTACATTGTCCGTTTCAGTGACACTAATAGTAGCAACGCTTGTTTCATTTTCCGCCAGCTCAAATTTCTTCGGGTTTTTGGGTTTAAATAACACGCTATTACGGAAACTATGTCCACGTTCAAAAGCGGCACCAGCGCCGTCATCCTCCTCTAACAATGGTTTATGATTGTGTAGAAAAGTATGCACCAATTCATCGATGAAGAACATTAAAAAGAATCCAGCACACATAAGCATTTCTGGTAAACCAAAAGTCAACTCAGGCAGATAGCCACAATGTTGCAAGTCATGTACATCCTCCTGTACATCTGGCAGCACATGCAAAAAAGTCGTACAGATCAGTACCCCACCGCCAAAATATAATAGACACTTCACCACAGTGGCGGAACGTGCGTCAGTATTATTTTCAGTCCATTTGAAGTAACGATTCAATAAGAACGGTATTCCACTGCAAATCACTGTTGCAATGAACATTATAACAATGGTAATAACTTTTGCAATGAGTAGCGCCTTATCGCCCTCATTGCTGTTATCTCGAGCAATGGAGCTATGTAGTGGCAACGTAGAAGCTGTTGTTGTTGTCGTCAATTCATAGTGTAAACTCTGATTAAAGGTATTTCGTAGTAAATTCACTACATTATCTATTTGTTCTGTTGTGTTCATTTTAAGTACTGTAATTATCAACAGAAAAAATTGCTCAATTAACCGAAATGTTCTAATGATATATAAAGTGATTTATAGATCTGCCTTACTACGATAGTGAAACATATAATTATTCGTATAATAAATATTGTATACTTATATATGCACAATGTAAAAATATTTATGATATTTAAAGTAATGTAATAATTTAAATTTATTTACCATATATGCTTCAAAAAACTTTACTTTAACAATATGGCATATTTCAAGATAAAATAAATGAAAATTAAATGATGAAAACTAATTTACTTAATCTGCATCAAAAATTATATTTTTTTTCATGTAAAACGCCGACTAAAGTTTAAAAATATACTTTACATAATTAAGATATAATCCAACGATAGTCAATAAAAAATCGAAGAGAAAGAAACAGAAATGTGTTAGTCTCATAATATCAAAAAGTATATTTAAAGAACAAGAACTATAACCATAACAAAATCAATAATGTGTAAGGTTTAAAGCGTTATTAATACTTTACCACTATATAATCACAGTGCAAGAATGACGTACGTAGGACGTGGTAGTGCTTTGAAGAGCTAGAACAAATACGAAACCAATAATATATTTTAATTTATAGGGATTAAAGCGTTATTGATTTCTAATACATATATAGAGAAAAGAACAGGGCAAGATAGGAAGACACATTTAGATAGTGGTGCTTAAAAAGAACATTTAAAGGGAGATCAGATCAAATAGAAGAAGAAGATTAATACTATTCACAAAATCCGCAAATATTGTAAGACAAATCAATTTAATTTTTTCGTGCTTATGATTAATATTTTATAACATTCAAGCTTTAATAAAGTTTAATATTATTTTTTGAATCTACTAGTTACACCTCTGACCGATTTTACTCTAACTCTACCAAGTGATCTATGCGTTTAACTCGGTTCCAACAATTTATCGCACTTGCCTTATATCGAAGCAATAAACTTAAATAACACAAAACTTATATCTCAATGGATGAAAGACGTTGTCTTCTAAAGTCAAAGGATGAGTTATAAAAACAAATATTTTTTAGTAAAACTCGGCTTTATTCATTAACATAGAGACGACTTAGACTTTATGTTTAAGCTAAAAATTTAACGAATATGCTCAATCATTGCTCACTGTCATATAATATTTTTATTTTTAAATATATAAATATATATTTGTATATAGAATGATTTAAATATATCTAACTCATTGCCAGCAGTATTAATATAGAATCTCAAATTATTCCTGTTTCAAACAATTCGTTAAATTTTACTTCAAACATGATCCATCTTTTAGCTAGTCTTGATCTAATTAGCTCGACTCTAATTGTTATGTTTCACATTATATTGTAGGATTACTTAACAATATTTTGTTTAGATCTCCTAAACTTTACAGAGCTTTTTGTTATTTACTGTAGTATTTATTTGAAACTCATCTTAGTTATTATAAAGTCGAATATAAAATGTTTCATTAGTAAATGTTTGTAAAATTATGAGTCCCAATAATAATAGTATTTAAAAGACAATTCTCTGATTTTCTAAAGAAACTTATAAAGGCATTATGCGTTTTGATTTTTTCAAATTCTGAAGAACACCACGCAGAGTTTTCAACTATCCATATCATTAGTCTCGATACTTTCCATGTAACAAACGATCTCCATTGATATGAGATGACAAATCATCTACTTATCAATCTTCTTTACAGGTAACATCTTAGTTTTGTTGATGTTTATTTGTAATTGACAACTATATTCATACATATTATATTCTTTGGTAGTACAGATTGTTTGTTATTTTAAGACAATCTTTTTTTCTCAAATTTACGATATTATCTGAAAGTCCCTCACAAATATTTATGTACTATTTTAAATATTCGTAATACATCTACAAAAAATAGTATTGAAATTTAACAATTAAAACTAACTATAGTTAACTGATTTGATTATTTTACAGCTGATTTAGGTATGATTTCGTTCTCATATAATACAACAATTAAATAAGTTAGTGAAATTTCACAGAAAATTAATAACACTATAAGTTAGAAAATACAAGTCAAGTACTGCTTTAGATCAGTTGGCTAATGAACACCGACTTTGAGCTTTGAATTTGGCAGGGTACAAATAAATAAATATAAGAAATAATTTCAAAAAGACCATGGATGATAGGTATATCATCCTAATCTAATCCATATAATTTTATAATTCCTAATTCGATTAATTAAATTTTGTTGTTGGAATTCACTACTGTTCATAAAATTTCTCTATTGAAAAAAAGCAAAAGCTTATATTGTAATAGCTTTTTCGTCATAACTGACGTTAAAAATCAAATTTAATATAAATATAAATATTGAAATAATTAAATAAATTTGTATATATGCTGGGATGTGAATTATTTCAGTGTCAGATTTTAGGAACGTTCAAAATTTTGATTTGTAAACAAAATAATTCAAATCTTTTTTATTGATATATAATATAAATATTTGGTTTAGTTCATTCTATGGAATGTGTAAAAGCAGTTGAATGACCAATTCTTCTACTTAAAAGAAGAGGCTACCGCTATTAAATCAGACTGTCAGACTACAGAATATAGTAATAATAAAAAAAAAATGCATTATCTATTATTGGTTAACAAAAATATAGAATTGGTTAAAGAAATAAGTTATCTTTTCAACTGTTTTATTTATATTTTTTTATATTTTGTTTACTTATAAATAAAAACATAGAATTGGTTAAAGAACTTAGTTATCTCTTTTGTTTGTTTCTTTTTTAATTTGTATTTTTTGATAAATAAAAATATTTAATTAACGCACTTTTAACAAATAATTTTAAATTATTTGATTTCATTTTTTGATAAATAAATATATATTTGTATATCTTGTATTCTTTTAACTTTTTCTTTTTTATTTTTTCTATCATAAAAAATCTATACACCTATAGACCAAATATGATAAAACAAATGTATGTATTATATTATAATAAAATAAGATTTATCTTACATTCTGTGAAAAATAGTTCTGAGAAACCAACCAAAAAATGTGGCAGTATTAAAGGCAGATGATAAT